GTCAAACTGCCCAAACCCCATCTGAAACACTGATAGCTTGTTGTAATGCCGTGTTTGCTAATACCTCTACTTGACAAGTTCTCTTAATTCCCTCTTTCTTCCCTTCAAACAATTCTAGTATGCACATTTTGTGGTTACCAGCTATATAGATAGGGCTTAACGATGTACAGGTCCTAGAGCATCATTTCTACACTTTCTAGCTTCTTCAGCCGTTAGCAACATGAATTTTGTTCTACCCTAATTTAAAGCTATGTATTCTGTTTCCATCTTGTACCTTGCTAGCATTCCCAAACCTTGGTCTCTTCTGGGGTAGGGAATAGGTAAATTTATAACCCGGTATATCTCGAATATACTCTCTCTATCTAACAACGGAACAGACATCATAACCAATAGTCGTCTATTTTCCAACAAGGTCACACAGCTTCTCCTCGCCTTAAGTATTTCTCGCTTTTAATTTTCACGCCTAATTAGTTAGCCAAACGCTAAATAGTGTCACACCACACCGAGTTTTGAAATATTCCACCAGTGTTTCTGTGTTGCAGTTAGTTATATGGTTTGTTGTGATATGAGTTGTAGAAGCATAGTGTCCATTTTTTTTGGTTCAATTTCTGTATTTCTTCCTCCAAAAGTTCCTGTTTGCAGTTTGCTGCTGGTAATTTTGTATAACTCAAGTTCTTCCATGGTTTTCTTTTCTGTTCACGGCATTCTTTCGTTGTAGTTTTATATAAGGAAGAGCTTATAGTTGTTCCAATGAGAAAAAAGTGTATATTTTAAAGAGAAGAGAGCAACCGCAAACGTTTTTGGTTATAAAGTGGATTTTTAAAAATATATATTATACTTTATTTTCCATATTTTTGTTACACACGTTTCCATTCTTGTGAACTTCATCAAGCGAAGAGTCGTTATTTCCACATATTATTAAAAGGAAGTAATTTTCCTTGTTTTCCGATGTTTAACCATTGTCTTTTGTGTGTAGTAGTAACATAATATTTTTCTTGACTGGTGGCGAAAGCATTCTTCTGCTTGTGGGGTAATTTTTGTGTATTGTGCGTGCGTGCGTGCGTGTTTTGCTAGTATGTGTATGCATATTCCTTCTTCATACATATATACTATTTTATCATAAGGAATTATTATATATATATATATATATATATATATATATATATATATATATATATATATTGTGTATTTAGGTAGCCGTCCTTCATTTATACAGTTTTCATTAAAGATGACAGGCAAGGTACTAAGATTAAGCTTTTTATTTAATTTTTTTTGTTTGATTTTTTTCTAGACTCAGAGTGTGTGGAAACTGTCCAAATGTTCTCTAATTCCGAGTGCTTTCGGCTATACTTTTAGCCATTATCAAGGATGCTTTTATTTTGTTGTGTGTATGTTTCTAGAGTTATAGGGCTGTTTTATTTTGGCCGTGTTCGTAGTTAATATTATTAAGTATTAGCTTTTTGTTTTTATTATTAAGGCTTCCATTATTTTTAATCTTTTTTTTTTTTTTACTGTGGATGAAGTTATTATGTTTGTATTTTCTACTAGAATGTTTTGGAATATGGTCTGGTAAGTTTGTGTGTGTGTTTAAATGGATTCTAATAGAGCTGTGAACGGATAGGTATAACGTAAGGCGTCTGGTTAGACATGTAGTCGTGTGACCAATGTATTTCTATGAATTCAGTTTGATCAGGAACACAGTTCCTTAAGGAACATTTGAACTCATAGATAATGTTCGTTTGTTATAATTTTGATTTTTCTGGTGTGTTGTTATTTTTGAGGATAAGGTTAGCTGTTTTAAATTTTTTTGTAGTAGATAATAAATTTAATTTTTTTGTTCGTGTCAATCGTGATTTCTATCATATAAAAACAACATAAATATTTACTACTATTTTTTTCACCCAATTACTATTACTGTTGTGATGACTATTAATATTATCTTTAATATTACCTTATTAGTAGTAGTATTATTATTCCGCTTCTATTTGTGTTCCTTATAAGGTTTCCTTATAAATTTTTTATCATTTATTTGATTTTAGATTTATTTATATTTAACTTTTTGATTTAACATTATTACTCTATACTTATATTTTAATAATTTAACTATAAGTCTACTAATTTTCATGGTTATTATTTTATTTAATTTATTTAAATTATTTCTCTTAATTTATTTCTATTCCTATGTTATTTCTATTTGTTTTTAAATTTTTTTTTAATAGTATTTTTCTTTTAAAGGGTTTATTCTTTAAGAATATATATATATATATATATATATATATATATATATATACATAATAATTATATCTCTGCCTTTTATATACTGTTTATATATAATAACACTATTATATAATAATATAGTATAATGATTATTTAATAATAATATAATAATTTGTATAATATAATAATAATATTTAGTAATAATATATTAATAATACGATAATAATGTTATTGGTTGTAGTTATTTTATAATCACATTAATATTAATTTTATTTAATGTAATAGTATTATTTAATAATGTATTGATATGTTTAATAATATCATAATATTATTTAATATAATGGCATGTGATGTAATGATGTTGATATATTAATATATACAGGAGGCCGACACTATTTTTGGGACACTTTGAAAATGTGCTTAAAGGTGTTTTTTGCTGCCGAGAGCTTTTGTGTTGATGAGTAGGTAGTTCAGCAGTAACTTTCCATTAATGGTATGAACATTGATTGATGGGTTTGTCTTTGGTTTTATGTTTTCTTTATTTTTACTTCAACTTAGGCGGCACTATTTTTCGGACATGACACAAATTCCGGATTTTTTAATGATTTAATCGTCGAACGTCTACAATATGAAAATTTTCTGCAGGTAAATTGTACCCTGACCATTACATTTGAGTATCATTACCATTTACTGCGAAAACGTATTAAAATCCTGAAGAAGAATGCATTCAAAAGAAGTCATCAGTTTGGTCCAAAAGAAGAGAGAAGACGGGCTCAGCATCCGAAAGATCGCCGCTGAGATGAAGCTACCGAAGTCAACAGTTGAATACATGCTAAGTACAGACTATGAGTGGAAGAAGAAAAGAGAGACGGAAAAAACAATTTCCAAGAGAACAGAAGGAAGAATGGAGAGGAGTGTTACGAGGTTGTTATCATCTGGAGAAAAGGTGACAGCGAAGAAAGTAAAGGAGAAATTGGACTTAAGTATGCTAAAATCAAGAAAATAATTACACTAACGAGAAAACACAAGGAGGCAAGGCTGGGAAGCGCTAAAAGATGGATAAAAAACTATGTCGACTTCAAGAAAGTGATATTTACTGATGAAAAACGTTTTAAGTTCGATGGACCTGACGGGTGGTGTACATGGTCGAGAAAAGGTGAACCTGTTATTCTCAACAAGAGACAGATGGGAGGAGGAGGAGTCATGGTTTGGGGTATGATATTTCCGAATGGAATCTTGTGGCTCAAATGGTTAACAGGGCGTCAAAATAGCTTGAGCTACAGAAAACTTTTGGAAAAGAGAACCTTACCACTCATAGAAAAAGAAATGGGAAGAAATTTCATTTTGCAGCAAGATAACTGCAGCATCCATGTGGCCAAATTAGTGAAAAATTGGATGTGTGAAGCAAATATAACTACTCTGGAATGGCCTGCAAGAAGTCCAGACTTAAATTTAATTGAAAACATATGGGAAATGCTTGCAGAGCTTGTTTACGACGGGCCAGAAATAACCAGAGAGGCTGAATTGTGGCAGCGCATACAAGATGCTAAAAATAGACTGCTAGAGACACGAAGAGACGTTATTATCAATATGTACGAACATTATGAAGATAGACTGATAGAAGTCATTGAAAAAAAGGGTGCTACCATAAACTATTAGCATTGTTTCTGCAATGTCCGAAAAATACTGTCGCCTGTGTAATGTGAAAATTTGTAAAAAAATAAAAATACTTCTAATTTGAATTCTGCTTTTCCATTTGTAGTATTGAAACAGTTTTTAAATGTTATTGCCATTACACTAAAACAGTACAGACTACCTGTGCTACCTAAAACTTGAAAAAATAAAGTGTCGGCCCTCTGTAATTATTGTATTGATGTCTGATATATTGATATATCATATATTGTTTAATATAATGATATATAATTTAATAATATAATGATAATAGTGTTATTTAATGAGGTATTTACATATATAGTATTATTTAACATAATAATATTTAATAATAATAATATTATTCAATATAATATAATAATAATGTTATTTAATAATGATACAATTGTAACACCTTAGTCGTGGTGAGGCCGAGCTGAATCCTGGTTTAGAGTGATCTCTTCGATCCTGACCTGCCTTACCCCACATCTCGGACTTCTTATAATCATTCGATTATAAGAAGGCCGAGATCGATTTGTCGCAAGTATCTTCCTTGGGCTGGTCCAATTTGAGCGAAGTCGTACAGTAAAATAGGAGAAAAAACAGCACTCGAATCATATGCATGGTCAGAGTTACCAAAAGGGCAGAGTTGCGAGGCACTGCAGGATTCGGGGATGGAGGTAAAGCACAGGTCGAGTAGAGAGGCTTTACCTTCCCGGTTGAAGGCAAAACGAGTGGGGAAATTAACTATCTGTGTGAGGGAATGGGAGATTGAAAAATTAAGCGCTTGAATGCCTGCATGGTCAGCATGCAGGCATTCAAACGCTTAACTATGAGGTAATTTTAAATTCCTATTTGTATGTAATTTGTATGCACTTTTAGAATAAATACATTGAGCTCTCTTTGTGGATCAGTTTTAATATTTTATATTATTAGGATTCACTTGGTTTATATACCAATGGATTATCACACACACACACACACACACACACACACACACACACACACACACACACATATATATATATATATATATATATATATATATATATATATATATAAGTCATTAGTCATACAATATACTGTTATTAAGCTTTAAATAATAGTTAATTTTATTCACTTTGTTTTGGCAGGACTTTTATAGATACGCTGTAAAGCACCTGACTATAGCTGGAGATGTGACACAAAAAAATATGTATGATCTCACTCCTCTAGCGCTTGCTTGTAAGTTGGGACGCCCCGAGATATTTCACGAAATGCTGGAACTCAGTGCAATTGTAAGTTTTTTTTTTACTTATTTTTATATCTAAAAATAAAGGCATATATTCATGATATAGAATTATAAGTATAAATTATATCCACTATTATTATGAGATGAGTGGTGTCCTTACTCGTGAAGGGCAACTATAGTATATCTCCAGAGAGGCTTAATGACGGTCGGTTTTTAGAGATTGGATATCTTTGGGCCTGGTTTATCGCTTCTCCAAAATGTAACAAAATGCAATAGAAGAAACGGAATAATTGAAAAGGTTAATTAAAGTTGATAAATGAAGTTGTTCATGATTCTCAGGAGATCGAACCAGAATTTAAATTCAGTAAAAATGATCATAAATGACAAACACCAGCACCTACCTGCTACCCACTACCTAAGAAAAAAGGATTCTGTAGCTAATTGTTTTTCTTAAACTACCAACCACACAAAATTCCGTTGATTTAAAAAAAATCTTTTTCCTTAGGAATGTTCAATTCCATAAAGTAGGCCAGGAGGCCATGGTGCTTTTGAGTGGCACTTATGAATGCGACTCCGTCAACTTGGGCAGCAAAATCAATAGAAAGCAGCAATTTTCAGTTGCGAAGTAGTTGATAATTCGAATTGAAGTGGAGTGAGAATGACGGCAATTGCTCTTTCACATTGATTGGAGAGAGATGTAACTGTTGACATGACGAGCATGAACATACACACACTGATTTGTTTCTTCTCAAATTACCAGTATTAGAACTACTAAAATTCTGACCGCTTTTACCAAGACAACCAAATACTGATATGGTAAAATCCGTATAAAATATAAATTTGTAGAAAAGATGAATAAAAGTCTCCTATGTTATCTTTTGTAAAATATTCACTGATCTTCGTTCCGCCATTTTATGCTCAACTCCAACCCAATGAATCAATCTTAGTTCTAATTGTGTATATTAAACTCAACTAGGAATCAATTATGTTTCAGTCCCACAGAGAATAACCTTTCCAGGATCACAATGTAGGCTGACGAGGACTTGAGTGATTAATGTCCAGAATAGCGATCTTCCGAATCCATTGAAACATTATTGAATTGGAAACAAATGAAACATCCTTGAAGCTGAAGGATAGAGTTGGAAAAACTGTCCCATATGTTGCCACTTCTACCGAGGTATCATATCTGTTTCTGTTTCGACTAGTAGAGGATCCTGATGTAGGATACTGTCACAGATTTACTAATTAAACAAAGACCTTACTGAAATTCAGTAACTTCCAACGAGATTCAAACGAGAATAACATATCCATGAGAGTTACGTTATTTCTTTATTATATGCTTATCATTTCATGTTCATGTTTGAATAAAATCTCATAATCAGTTGCTGGAGGAAAAAGAAAATGAAACAGAAGAGAATGTTCAGAGCGCACCCAAAACTAAAATGACTTTTCATTCATATCACAAAAAAAAACATTTATCTTTAGCATACTGACTATATGAATCACATGAGAATCACTCGACTTTCAGTGATTCCCAGCCTTGTATTGGATTTAATTAGTGGAAAAAAAGAAACCGACCTGCCAGTTTACTTTTTATTTTAAAATATTGTCACGTGGGCAAACCTATTATAGCTGTGAGTTGGCTATGCAAATGCGATATTTTGCATCATATTCAGTTTGAAGTTATGTTATACTTCATTATATATATATATATATATATATATATATATATATATATATATATATATATATATATATATATATATATATATATATAAAAATGAAAATTTAGAACAGATGGGGAAAATTCCACATTTACTTTTTAAAAATGTGCTCAATACAAAGTAGAGCAATATATTATTTTTATTTTTATTATAAGAGATTATAAAAAGCAAGTTAAAAGAAGTACAATCATAGTATTGAAACATGAAGGCTTTGCTTTTGTGTAGCGATTTCAACATGTTTTTATTATAATCTCTTAAAGTAATTATATATATATATCTATATATATATATATATAAATATATATATATATATATATTAGGAAAATTAATGACGAAGTGGAATTTTTTTGTGAGATGCATTTAGGACATTATTATAGTAGGTACTTTCAACGATTTACGATACCTAACCTTTAAATTGAATTTTTTAAAATTAAAAATCTTTTTTGATGAATTGTTCTAAGCTTTTTCACTTATGATTAGTTTTTAACTAATAACAATATCATCTAACTGGCACAAAGTAATGCAGAAATTTAAAAGATTTAAAACTTTATAAATTATTATAATTAAAATTTAAAACAAAATGAAAACAACTTTTTGTAAAAAACATTCATTATTCAGCGAAAAATATTTTTTCTTCAGACAGTAGTTTCCATAATATAATCATTCATAAAAACAAAAGATTTTCTAATTAAATAATGTCATAATTTTTCTGCATTTATTCCTTTACAATTTAGAGCAGATGGCGAGTAACATGTTATGTTACAATTTAGAGCAGATGGGGGATAACAAATTTTGTTTTACAATTCAGAGCACATGAGGATTAACAGATGTCATTTTACATTTTCAGCGCATTGAAGTGTAAAAGATGTAAAATATATTTTTATCAAGATTTTCTAAAAAAAAAAAACATTTCTAAAATAATTTAATTCATTTGTGAATAAACCCTGAAAGTGTCAAAATCTGACATTTGATTTTTGCTAGACTTTCCAAGTCAGTGTGTTTTTCACCACAAAAAGACGCTAAAATTTCCTATGATAATCTTTGGCCACTGGGCTGACGCAAAAAGATTTTTAACCAAAATTTCGAACGTTCTAAAAAGCATAAAAAATATAATTTAATAATAAAAAAATCCTCTGGTCTTTACTCTTCTTAATAATAACAAAGATTTTGACGATAAAACTTTGTTTTTACTAAGTTTGGGACATTTTTTTATCATGTTATGCTAATTTTTTCGTTAATCAGTGGTGGTACATAGACTAAAAAGATTAATGGACACGAGCTGCTTAGGATCGATACGAGCCGTCAGCTCACCGAGATAGTCCCAGAACAGGCGCACCTGAGGACAATGGTCTAAACCAAGGTCACACCAATGACAGTTGGGCAAATCCGTCTACCCCATCTTAAGTCTATGTCATTAAGAGAAAGGACGTTCCGAATCAATCGCCAGGTAAACGAAAACTCAGGGTTGTTTGTGCCCAAGACCAGAAAGAGCCAACAAGCTGAGCTGGTCACATAGAGGATCCTTCGCGACTCCCTCCACTAATTCACGATACGGGACCTTGAAAGGTCACTGGACTGAGGAATGACCTTCAATGCCGCCCGGCACTTTTTGAGGAAACTCGATTGCTTCCAGGGCCTACGACGGCGCTCAGCCCTCGAAACGGAAGTGAACAACAAACCATCGAGCGCCTTCTTTCGGTCTTTGCAGAGAAGAAGTACCGCCAATCGATAAAGGTTAAGAGGAAAGACGTAATCCATAAAACATTTCAGCTTGATCATTTTTACGGACAACCGCCGTCAAAGCCAAGCCCAGACTGCCGCTCTGATGTTTGACTGTACTTCGGACCAATTTTTCTCCAGCAGGATACCGTGCCAGAACCACACTTCAAGAATGATGACGGGTACGTTTGTGTAACTACAGAGCCTCTCTCAGTGCCAGCTGCACATCGTACCATTCAAGAACGTCTTTCTGTACCAATCCTCAATGTCGCTTTTAGACGATTCCTTGAAAATGGATACGTCAATTGCACGCCCTGTTCCTTAGCCGATGAAGGAGGAGATCAAACTCCAAAGCGTCAGGATTTAAGTCAGGACTTTGCGGTGGCCAATCCATAATTTCCAAATCTTGCTCGCTAAGGTAACTCATTACCACCTTTGCCTTGTGACATGGGGCATTATCTTGCATAAAGGTAGCCCTATCGAAACCTGAATTTTGTATGATTGGCACAACATGATCTTGAACAATGTTTTTATAGATCTGCGCGTTTACACGAGTTTGTAACCGGACAAGAGGCGTTGTACCTTGGCTAGAAAACATTCCAAATACCATGACGCTTCCGCCCCAAAACTTGACAGTTTTCTTAGTACACTTTGCACTTAATCTTTCACCAATACTTCTCTTTACATTGTTTTTTCCATCATTTCCAAATAAATTAAACTTGCTTTCATCACTGAAAATACTTTTGCCCAATTTTCATATGTCCAAATTACATACCTGTTTGCAAACTCTAATCTTTTTCTTATTCTTCGAACTAACAAGTGGTTTCTTCCCTGGGGTTCGATTAAACAGCCCTATTTCTTGCAGTCGTCTACAAACAGTCTGTCTTGACACATTAACACATGAGGTACTATTCATAACCCTTTTAATTTCTGTGCAAGACTTAAAACGGTCCTTTAATGACATACGCTGCATTATTCGATCTTCTCTTGCCGAAGTTTTGCGGGGTCTGCCGGTTTTAAAAGCACTAACTATTTTGACAGTATCATTGTAGGATTTAACAACCCTGCCGACAACATTCTTGGAACGTTTCACTTTCTCTGAAATCTCTCTAATGGTGTGCTTTTCCTTGTGTAGCTTCACAATAGCTTGTCTCACAGAGTAATCAAGTTTTTGGCGTTTCGCCATGGCGCCGGCTGATGCAACGTTTACAAATGACTAAGTAAGACTTATTCTTTAGAGGAAATCAAAAAATTTGAATATAGCATACTGTTTACATTGTTTTTCTCAATTTTGTCCCTTACTTTTGGACGATCCTATTTTGAAAATAAATAAATAATTGTTATAATTCTTTTTCTATCCTTTGCAAATGATTCAAATTTTAGTATGTTATTATGGATGATAACGACTACCAGTTGTCAAAATTTCAGCTTTTCACAGTTGTTATTTCTAACAAATATTAGGTTTTAAAATTTTGTCCCTTAGTTTTGGACGCTACTGTGTATATATATATATATATATATATATATATATATATATGAGAGAGAGAGAATATTATTATAGGCGTCGTTTCTATTTGCAGGAATTGTGGCGCTACAGTAACATTACATGTTCTGTGTATCCAATTGCAAATCTTGACACGGTCGACCCAGACGGTGTGACATGTAAGTAGTTGACAGTCATGTCTAATTTGAATTTCATCATTTTTTTCTTTAATCTGTTATTATTTTTTATTACTATAAATGTTATATTTAGTATTATTTTAGCCCAAATATAGAATTTATATTAATAAGAAGTGATATTGAATTTAAGAGAAATTAATTAATAGTTGCTTAAAAATACTTTGTTTACGTTTTGGACATGGGAATTAAAGTTAACAGATATACACTTGCAAAGGTTCCAACAATAGATGTGCATTTGTTAATAAGGTAATTGAGCCTTACTTTGTTGTGATGGCTTATCATAGTTTAATAGTAAAGTTGGCTTCAAAGTTGTTATCCAGATTAAAGATGGAATACATGTTTGATTACTGTTGGGAGGCACATATTTGCTAAAAAATGTGATCTCCTAACCAATAGATGTTAATTTCACTGTTTAAAAAATAAGGATGTCTGCTCAAACATGCATACCCATTAAATATAAAGTTTATAGTAATAAGCAATATTCAGGGTGTATCAAAAATATTTTTACAAACTTTGGAGGCAGGTTCCTCACACCAAAATAGGGACAAAAGTCACAAATGTTGTTTGTGTAAATTTTTTATTCCATCTTTTCCAAATGTTGCCTCATCCGTAAATAAAACTCAAGAGACAAACAGCGGATCGGCAGTTTGTGTAATAAACCATCGGCAAAAGGCGCTCTCTCTCTCTCTCTCTCTCTCTCTCTCTCTCTCTCGTGGTGAGTTGTCAGAGAGTGAAAGACTCTGCACACATTGCAAATGATATGGATACAGGAGCTGCTCTTGAAGTACCCTCCATATTGTACCATGAGATGTACAACATGCTAGGACCACTTGACATGTGCTGATACCTGGATAGTCTCCAACAGCCTGTTGTTCTTCGTGGTTGGGTGTACGAGCAGGTATTGGTATTTCTTGATCCATAGTTTGTGGTGTCATGGATACTGTCTCAGAAACGCGATGATTAACATCAGTAATGTTTAGATGACTTAGCTGCCTCGGTCTGGGAACACATTCTGATACAGCCATGCAGCCTTGTGTCCATTACCATTTACGCAGTCGTAAACTAGCCACAAATGTAACCTAGTCTACATAGCAACACAGTGACATCTACTGTAAACTTACTTTAAACTTAATAACTCAAAATGGAATGAACTGCGGACAATACATATGTTTATACGGACTTTTGTCCTTGTTTTAGTGTGAGGAACCTACCCCCAAAGTTTATAAAAGTATTTTTGATACACCATGTATATATATATAATAATTAATTTTTCCTCATGTTCAATGTTAAATATTCTCGATATGAGACATTTTCTGTTTGTGTGTTGGTAATCTGAATTTCTTTCTTAAAGAAATTTGCTATTCTCTTTTTATTGATTTTTATGGAGTTACCTACATATATATATATATGTGTGTGTGTGTGTGTGTGTGTGTGTGTGTGTGTGTGTGTGTGTGTGTGTGTATTTATAGGGAGTGGGGAAGAATAATAAGTGTCACTGAATCGCTCCATCAGTTATCTAACGAAGTTCATATTTAGATACAAGTTTTGGAAGTTAACACTTGTTGCAATCGTGCATTCACTTTTCTTCATACGATGAAAAGATATCGGATAGAAACAGAGAGTGAAACAGAGAGTCATAGGAAGAGAGAGAGAGACATAGACAACTTGAGAGATGGATAAATATAGCTACACATGTATTTCTTTTTTTAGCTTGGACATCTGCATTGAATTTGATCATTGATGGCGAGACCGATGCTCATTTGGACATGGTAGAAGGGAAAGTTATTAAGCAGCTATTAGATGAAAAATGGAAAACATTTGCCCAGGTAAGAACTTGCTCAGGTAAATCTATACACATTTAAGAGATTTAGAATTTTGAGAGTAGTTAATTAGAATGACGGGCAACATGCATTACATATTTTAGGAAACTCTCCACACTTGGGTGCATGCAATGAAAATATATTTATATATAAGAATATACAATGGAAATACATATATATATAGGAATATATTTGCTTGTCTTGCCCAAGATTATATTGAATATGGAAACTAGTCAGACCAATCAGAATAATCATATCTGGTAGGAACATTTTCCAAACTACGGCTTTTAACTTGAATTCTGATAACTTATAATGGAGAAAACTCAATGCAATTTCTTTTAGTCTCTTTCTGTTATTTATTTTTTTTACAAGCTTCTGATTAAATAAACAGCTAAACTTGAACTATTAGGTATTATTATCTATTAAAAAAATCTGGGTGTATTGCATGATTCCTTGCTTGGTAAATATTATTTCACATCGCAGTAAAAAGCAATAAAATACAAACAAATAGAGTCCTTTCCAATATCTGTACCGATTTTATATCGTAAGCAAAAGTTTGTGATTTTACCTTTACATAAGCTTATAAAATAATCTCTCACAAGGAATGAGCTATGATATTTCATTGTCATTGTATGAGCGTGTTTGTACATAGCACTGTATCAAACATTGCAACTGTAACCTGGAGTTACATTGAAGTACACGTGAATTCTGATTGCATGTAAATAATCGGTATCAATACAATACAATACAATATGCATTACATTAAAAAATGTGCACGCGCGCACACACACACATGTGAGTATCGTTCTCTGAACTTGAAAGATATATTTTGGAAAATAAAATGTCTTCATTGAATTTGGTTCATAATTAGTAGATAATTTTCCAAAGATTGCACAGTGTTATATTTCAGAGGATTTGGTAACTCCCGATTTTCATCTGCTCGGGTCAATGAAAATTGATTTCTTAGACAATATTTTCTTGAAAACTGTGCTTTTGGATTAACTTCCAATGGTGCAGAATTTAAAGTGGTGTGCAGGCTTTTGTCGGTGGTGAAAATGTATAGCCAATGCTGGTGACTCTGCCGAAAATAATATTTTGTAATTGAAAACTTGTTTCATCCAACAGTGTTATTCTACTCATTGTATCTTTTGTAGTTTCCATAGAAGTAAATTAAATTTTCAGAGCATCTCTCTTATTACTATGCATACCATTTATTATTATTTTTTTTTCCTGATTTACTGTTCATATAATTCTTTAACAAGTCTTTTATCTGAAGTAAATGAAGATTTTTCTTGAAGATATTAGATTAATAGAAATTTTCTGAGTATGTGAGTGGTCATCATGAGCACAATCTTTTGTATAGTGAAGGAATTTTGTGGGATTTTCTTAATGTGTGTATCAGTATTCGTTTGAATTATACCTAGTGCTCCTATTATTATAGGAATTATAGTTGTGCTTAAATGACACGGTCTTTTTCTTTTCTTCTTCTTCTTCTTCTTCTTCTTCTTCTTCTTATTATTATTATTATTATTATTATTATTATTATTATTATTATTATTATTAAGTAACAGAGAGTAACTAGGCACATTCCTAACCCTAACCCTTGTCAGAGTGGGTGTCATAGATGGCTTTCTATATTTGTATTCCAGTGTCATTTTTTTTGATAAAATACTGTGAATTAATAATAATAATCATGAGAAGAATATGCAACCACCATTATTATTATTTTTTTGAATGCATCATAGTATTTACGTTGTGTAGATGTCTTGAGTACCAGAGAAAATACTGCCTGTCAAGTCACAAGGACCTCAAACAGGCAGTACTTTTTGAAGTATGCTTACTGTAACCAGTAAAAAAATGGCTTTGCATATTTGTATCCCAGTGTCACTTTTTTGATAAAATACTTTATCAAAACATTGTAGCATTGTAACATTCCCAAAGTGCATTTTACACCAATTTGGATGACATCTTCTTTAAAATTCAATGGGATGGAGCTGAGAGCACCAATCACTTTTTCTCCTGCATTTTCCACAAAGGGGTAGTGCAACCAGGTTCCAAGGGTGGAGTTTTGATTTGAGTATTAGTTTGACGCTCTTCAGATATGTATTTCCAACTCTGCCTTTCATATCATAGTTGTCTGTCATCAAGTTTAAAAATTCTAAGGTATTTCTATACATTTTCATTTGGATCCATCATGACTGCTTCAGGTGGTAGTTAACTGCCACAAGAAAGCACCTTCCTTCCTTCCTTCCTTCCTTCCTTCCTTCCTTCCTTCCTTCCCTTCATAGCCAACACAGAACACTTAGAAATCCCAAATCGCATTCCTGTATCATTACTATATTCTTTTACTCTGCCTTCAATAGGGAATCAATGTGGATGTCCAATCTCTCTTTGACCAGAAGCACTGCAGTGTGTATCAGCTCCCTTGAGAATACCATTTACATCTTGGGTAATACTTTGAAGATAGTTTCTATCAACCCTTTTGAGGTTTGTGGGAGTACGATCATCTGTACTATTCATTAATTCAAGCAACATGGACAATACATTTTGAACCTCATTTAGTTCAGGTACTTGAGTTTCTTCAGCCTTATATATGACTCGAGCAGTTTCATCGACAGGAGTTTTATCCTCAGTTTGTTTACTTCAGTTTGAAACTCATGTTGTTGACCTTTTTCAACAAATTCATTGTAAAGATATCTATCATTTCTTGCTTCTTTAGCAACTTTTCTACAAATCTGTACAATATCAGCATCAGTTAGCCATCCTTTGTTCTCTACCAACCTTAGTTCATTTTTCTATTATCAGATATGTTAAATATGCCTAAGTCCTTTTTCCTACTCTAGGACTAGGAATTAACTTAGCCTTCTCATGGCATTCACTTGGGATTTCATACTCTAACTTTGACCACTTTAGTTATTTATGCTTCATACTTGATGATGTTTCTTGTTCCATTGTGGGATAAATGACCGATATGAGTCTGATCTTCCTCTCTGGTACACCTAGCTCCACATTTACCGGGCAAGGGATTTTCCCTGCTGTCAGCTCCAGTCTCATTAACGCTGTTATTGATCATTTCACTATTATTTTGTATCATTTCCATGAATGAATTGGTTTGTTTTAAATGTTTTCCTTTACCTCGTGTTTTTCTCGTGATGCTATCACTGTGAATTATGTTAACCAAAACTGAGAGGCCTATATGCTCTCATCTAGATATTTCTTTGACTCATCAGGTTAGTTTGTGTAAGATTATTTTTATTATTATTAACAACAATAACATCAACAACAATAAAAAAAATAATAATGTTTAGCAGTGTTTCAATAAAATTTAAAAATTAGTTATAGTAAATATTAGAAAGTAGATGTTAGAAAATTTTTTCTCTGAATTAATAATAATAATAATAATGATAATGAAGAATGTGGTGTATTAATACAACCAATATCATTATTATTGTTTTCATATTGTGAGTCAGTGTTATTGTGTGAAGATATAATGGTATACTATTCAGGTAACTTAAAAGTTACAACTAATCTGGATAATGTCTATATAAAACAGTATCTATAATAGTTCAAATAATGATTGTATGAAAAGGAATGTTAATTTAAAAAAAAACAATTTTAAATTGCATTCAAGAAAAGTATTTTCATGATTCTGTTGTTTGTGAAAGCAGGTTGTCAGATTTTGAAGGTCAGAGATTACAAGCATGTTTACTGGAAACAAAATATTTTACTCACCTTTTCTTTTATTTTCACCTTCTTGATGAGTTAAAGTTAAAGCATATCCACCAATTCCAAGACAAGCCAACTGATTAATTACACCTGATATCCCAAACAAAACCATCTACAGCCTTTTATTATCAGTGAATATTTTCTTAACAAAAGTATTTCATCAAATATAAAACCGAGCATCACAGATCACATATTTCAAAAAATGATAGATTCCTGTCTCCTCTGGAAAAAAAAACTATAACATTTAAAATAATGAACAATGCAAAAGTTTATGAATAGTTGTTATATTTTGATTATTATGTTATAATTATTTTCATTATCAATATGAATATCTGGTTGATTAAATTGTTTGCTATGTTTGAAGAAATGTGTTTAATCGAAAGGTAATAATTTCATTCTTGGAAATAATTTGATCATATATTTGACATGTATTCTGTTATATATCTATTACATGTTATTTGTAAACATCATCTGCAAGTACATGATAGCGTGAAGTAATTCCAAGTAAGTCTACTCACGACAGTAAAATGTGCAAAATGAGAACAGAATTTAAATGACAGAAAGAATCTTATTTAAATATCAGACAGGGATTTTCTCATGCCACTTATGTACAGGGGACATTTTGCAACTGATATAACCATTGCTAACTAATCCTGATTCTTTTTTTCTCTTCTTTTCTATTTCAGGCTGGTTTCTTTAAATTATTAGGATTTGCTCTTGTCCACCTAATTTTACTCAGCATTGCTGTTTACACAAGGCCTGTAGACAATTTACTTCAATTCAAAGGACCAATTGATGCTGTAAGGAAAAACGTTTTAATTACCTCAAATATTTATTAGACTTTGTAAAATTCGGCACAAGATGATATGTCATGAAGCAACAAGTGACAATTAACTTATTATTAACAATTAAGTTATTTAAAAAAAGACAGCATATTGCAAACTTGAGCATTTCAAAACGATAAAATTTTCTTTGAGGGAAGATGACAACTATTGAAGAGACACACTGGTAAATAGACTGCGAAATTAGGAATTCCTTTCACTTAACGTAGACATTGGACAAACTAGAGAAGATATAACTGAATATCAATTTGAATCCCTAAGTTATACTAAAAGCAACATAAGTTGTACACGTTTAGAAATTATTGTATTAGTTCTACATTAACTACAGACATCAGAAAATGTCCTGGCCTTCTCACTTATATTCAGTTTGGAGGTAGGATAAATCCCTGATATCTAAACGAATTACAATCACTTGCCAAATTCTATGAAGATTTACACCTATAGGACTCCGTGAAGAACAAATCACTGACAACATTTTATCAGATTATAAAAGCCAATTTTATCCTAAGGTCATTTGCATATTGTGAGAAACTAACTCACTGTCAGTGGCTTTCAAGATAGGTATGCTATTAATTCAATTATAGTAGATGTTCCATATTTGAAATATATCAAATTATTGAAAGAGCTGAATGACTACAATAATAAAGCATTCACAAAGGATCGAATATTGCAAAAGGTTTTCAGAACTAAATTAGCGATTACTGCATCAAAGGCTCTATATTTTCTGATTATAGACGTGCATAAGTCAATGATATTTGGATTTTTTATCAACAGGTCAATGTGGAGGTTGTGTTAATTGATTAAATTATATGGATCAATAAGTAAATAAGTTGAGTAAATTAGGCTGTGATGTGAAATTAACAATTTCCTCTCACATTAAAATTTCAGTATTCAATAAACATGAACAAGAACATGAGAAACAGCAGTTTTTGCACAACAATGAATAAAATATTTATATAACCAAGAGGTACAAACAATTAGAGTAAAGAGGTAGTTTAAAAAAAGTTCAAACGTCCTTTTATGTTTAAATTGAAATGTTATTAAAGTTTTGGTTTGATTGATTATAAGTTGTTGAACTGTCTGTACAATAATGAGAAAACGTGTTTGGGTATTATTGTAATTTAAGGAAAAATAAACAGTTCAAGTTTGTACTTTAGAGAAGTATTGTTCACGACTTACTTTAATGTTTGACTTGTTTTCACTTGTCGTTTGAAGAGAATAATCTGTAGTTGAAGAAAGTGATTCTTAACAAACTGTGTTTATGTTAATTGCAATAATTAACGTTAAGCTTGAAAGCGTATGACAAAGATTCGTGTATCAAGTGGAATGTGGAAAACTTGAGTTGATTGTTCATGATTAAAATATTGCTGTGTGAGTGTTCTTTTCAGGCTGAACTCATGTTACGTAACTTCAGTGTAAAGCCTGGAATTGTGTGACGAGTTCAAAGGATTCCGATCGGCTCACTGTCGAGGATGAATGACATTTCATATTTATTGCTAACTTTGGCCACGTGGTAGGCTCACAGGGGATTGACAGATTTTGGCGGAATTATTTTTTATTTTGGTCAGGCCAAGAACTAGGTCGATGTTATTCGAACATGACTTAAATATAAAGTGACCAATAAGAAGTTGAGATTTTCTGAAAATATGTAAGCTGAATAAGCTCTGCGATCCACATTTTGCACAGATTTGTACAAAAATTGATATTGATAAAAAAGGTGGTAGCGGGATGCTAAATCAACAAACTTGCATATTTTATGTAATTTAAAGCACATTAAGCACCACCCGGAAACTCGTCAAAATCCTTCTATGTCTAAATGCTGGTGATTTTGAAGTACTGAACGTCAAAGAGAAAATTTTATTATTATGTTACATTGCTCTGAAATGTTGCGATTTCCAGTGAAATATTTTGTATTTCAATTTCAGTTTTTACTCAATTGAAATGTTAGATGTATATAAATTTTACTAATGTTTTTTAATTTAAAAAAAAAGTTTTCATTTGTTTTCAGCTTCTAGTTTTCAAAAACATAAATTCTTTTTTTCTATTGAACACAAGTAATATAATTTTATTGTAATGTAGCAGTTTTTCAACTTGTCAAGTTGATCATGTCTGAAGCTAAGGATCGTCCGTCTTCTTGTTGAATCTGGATTTCACACTAATGAAACTATAATATTAACTAAATATAGATTGCCTTCAATTTTTTCTTTTACCAAAACATTTGGTCTTAAAATTGGTTTATGAACTCATATATATTAAAACAATGATTTGATACCGCAAAATATTGTTATTGCCTTCTGTCTGAGGAATCTTTCGGCCAGAGAAAATTTGTCAGAGAAAATCGTTGGTAATTAGTTTTTTTTAATCAAAATATAAAATCTTAACAATTAAAATTGATAAATCAGTTAAATTTAACAAAGATAAAAAATAATAATTTCTCTTTACAAATTTACTAACTTTTGTGGCTACGATTTTAACCTTGCACCAGTTTTGTTCTCCCATTTAGCACCACCCAGAAACTGTTTTTTGTTGAAGTTCCTGTTATAAAAAAAAATAAATATAATTTTAGTGTGTGCGTACGCAATTCTTTAAAATTTGCTATATTTATTGAGGAAGAATGCTGAATATCGGGAATAGAGCATTTGTAGATATAAATAGCGTGGACATAGAAATCAACAGAGTGACTGTCAGTTTCATACCTCAAGTGAAAATCATATGTTGTATATATAGCCAGCAGAGGTTTATGGGAAATGAAGGTGAAGAGGAAACCAGTTTTTCCAGTTTCTTTCTTTTTTTTCCTTTTGTTTGTGGCTTATATGTTTTATTTATGACCTTGATTTTGTTTATATATTTATATTTAATCATATGCTACTTTTATTTATTTATTATTTTGTTTATCTTTGTTCACTTCCTTCAGTTTGAAAGTCTGGTATTTGAAATAAACTTTATATTACTTTTAGGTCATGGGTTCTTTGTTTTTAGAGATACAGACCTGAATGATGACCTCGTAATCCCAAGAAACTGCAACAGACAAGAAACAAACTCCACTTTTTCGCGGGAAAACGGCATAGCGTAATGAAAAATGCCACAAACTTAACGAAAATCAAATTTTATCGTCAAAATGCTTATGTTATTATTAAGATGAAAGACCAAAGTATTTTTAATTATTTTTTTAAATTTTTTAATATTTTCTAACACGTTCGAAATTTTGGTTAAAATCTTCTTTTGTTTACGTCATCGCGGTGACGTTTTAAAATAACATTTTTTTTTTTTTTTTTTTTCCGTTGAAAACACATTGATTTGGAAATTCTTGTAAAATCAAATAATTGTCCGATTTTAATGAAATTTTCAGGACTTATTCACAAATGAATGAAATTATTTTTGAAATATTTTTTTTTTTAAAATTTTGGTAAAAAATATTTTTTTTTAAAATATATATTAACCCCCCACTTACTTATTGTCCTGAAATTTCGTTCAAAACCTTTTTATTTCCTGACAATTTTTTTTTTTTAAAAGTAAAAGTCATTAGAGATGGTAAATAACCTACTTTTTTTTTTCAAATTTGCACTAACTAACTGAAAATCTGCTCTGAATTGAAAAAATAATGAATCCAATAAAACTATGATATTACTTAATTAGAAAAGCTTTTAATTGCTTTTGTAAATAAGTAATATTAAGGACATTATTGCCTGAAGAAATAAATTTTTTCTGATGAATAATTAAATTTTACAAGAATTTTTTTCATTTGTTTTAAATTTTAATTATAATAATTTATAATAGTTTAAAAATCGTGCAAAATTCTGTTATTAATTTATTTCAGTGAAAAAATTAGTAATTAAATCCAAACAAAATTTAAAAGTTCAAAATTGCAAAGTTTAAAATAAACTTTTATGTTGTGCTTTTTTTTTTTTCAAATTTCCATGTATTTTTATTTGTTTTTTTTTACTTAATTGATTCCGTTTTCCCACCATGTACAGTAGACTGAAATTGCCATTATTATAAAAGTTTTGTCCCTTTCAGTAAAAATTTTAAAAAAAAATTTCCATTTAGTTCATCAACTCAGATTTTTTTAAAAACTCAGATTTTTCATTTGTCATTTATGGTCATCCGTAGTAGCTGTCATCACTTCGTCAATCAACACGTAGATCAAATATTGGATAAAAAACAGTACCAATCGTTAATAATTGGTTGTATATTATTTTTTATGCTATAAGTAAGTAATATTTCTTTTTAAATCAGATTAATTTAACATTAAATTTTCTAATTTTACTAAAATAACGTGTCAGAAACTTTTTTAAAAATATTTTTAAAAATCGATAAATTTGTGTTTGTTTACAAATTTCTTAAAATTAAGAAAATGGCCGTTTTAAGAAAATTTAAAAAATTAGTTTTTAAATTTGACAATCAATGTATATAGTTTCTATCTGAAATACACTAGAATTTTTAATTAATGGAAATAATAAATTTAATGATTAAACTTTCAATTAAAGCTAAAATGAAATCTTCAAGAATGTTTTTTCATTTTTAAAATTCATTTTAAACTTAGGTATCGAAAATTTTGCCGAAAAAAATTGGAGGTATGATATAAAACCATAAAACGATATTAAATTTCAACCTAGAATAATAAAATTCAACCTTTTTTTTAATAAAAATAATTCAGAAAACCAAACAAATTTATTTCCTCCAATCTACAATAATCAAGCAAAGCCTAAAATTAATCAATTAAAATTAATTTGAATGAAAATATTTACCATGAAGGCAAAAACGTTTATGAAATTTTTAACGACAAAATTATAATATTCACAAAAATAAAAAAAAATTAACAGAGAGTAAGCATATATCGTTCAACCCACTATACAATAAAAATGTAAAATCTTTTAAAAATATTCATTAGTCTAATGAATCGGTAAACACTTAAAAGTAATTAAAATAAATAAAAGTAATATGATACAATTAAATAAAAATAAATAATCAACCCCAAAGTCAAGACTATAATCTTA